TTCAGCAGGCAGTAGATGCTTGCTAAAGCTTATGCAAATGCTGTATTTACCAATATAGAAAATACGTACCAATAAACAGCTAAGTTAGTAGCTTAGCATAAGGTTGCTTATTTATCTGAGGCTGGAAAAGTCCCAACATTTGCGTGATTTTATCTTTAAATCATTACTAGATTCTTCCACCTGCCTCTTAGTCAATGACATCGCTTCTAGTCTAGTTTATCCTAAACTGGAAGATGGACTGTATTAATCTGTTTGTCTCTAGGAAGAGTAGGATTTGGTGATCATACACGTATGAATGCAGCCTACCAGAGTTGTAGTCACAAGGATGCACAGACTGGATTGTGTCCGCTCAGTTTCATAGTTATAAAATCCTCTGGTGCAGGGATCTGCAGCTCTGACTCTGCTGAGCATTCTGTGTTCAGGCATGCTGGAACAGTCAGGACAGCTGATGCTTTAGGAGTCAGAAACCCAGGGAATAAGCGTGTACCAGTGGCTTCCAGAACTAAAGACTCTGTGAATTCTGAGCTGTGTATCACTCCTGGGATGAAGGAGGAAGGCTGGTTCAGCCAGTGCCTCTGATGTGGTCAGGGTGGTTGTCTGCTCTGTGAAATGATAAACAATTACAAAGGAAAGAAGGGGCAGGGGGATCTGCAGCCATAGTGGCTCTCTCACTCCCCTCGGAGTGAACCAGTCCCATAGAACTGTGCTGGCCAAGCCCTTTGGGGGTGACATGCTGCAAGCAGACCACAGCTTCAGCAGAAACCCTGGGCCACCTTCTGTGCAGGTGTGCACCAAAGCTAGGGCTGGCAGCATCAGTGGCTGGTAAAGGTTACTTTAAAGTTAGTATGGCTGGATTCCTTGGGGCATTGAGATCAGAAAGACTGGTGTAAGAGCACCTGCAAAGCTTTGCTTTGGGACAGTCTGCTAGGCACAACTTTTCAGGGGCTGCCTGCACACTCAACCTGAGTAGAACAGAGCTATGTCTCTTGTCTGTCGTACACTATACTTTGTTCCTCCTAGTATGTGCTTACACAGGGAAATGTGAGGAATCCTTGGCAGAGGATCAGTTCTGTTGACTGAGGACTGTCCACCAGCTACCCCAGCTCTCACACAGGAGCAATTGCCAGATACGTGCTGGTTCTTCTGCCCTTTAGGCAGTAGCAGTTTGAATTGCTGCAGAGCTGGCCTGTAGAGTGGCATGAACAGAGCTTTAAGACCTCCGTTATAGCAACCTGTTCTTTTTTTTCCCAGAGCTCCAGCCTATATCTAGCTGGGTCTGAGAGGTTCCTTGTCTGCATTGCTGACTCTCTCCCTTTCTCTCCTGAAGAGCTGCTCTGAAGCCTTGCTGGGGTTGGACTTGATTCAACAGTGCTTAAAGTTTGTCAGCCTACTGTATATATAGCATCCACTGTGAGGCAGGCTTTGTTTTTGTGGACTTTTATTGACAAGCTTAGTGTGTCCTGCACTTGAGTGGAAGTTTCTAGGCCCCTCTGTCTTAGCTGGAGCCATGTTATTTTGGTATTTAGAAATTTGGGCTCCAAATGCCTGAAGCAGCAATCCTATATCACTGCTTGGATGAATAACTGGTAAAGAGCTGTAAATGTGGATCTGCTTTCTATGCAGAAGTCATCGAGCAACACAGTGTCAGGCTAACAAGGCTCTGATTGTGGCTTTGGATTTTGTTCTTGTTTTCTCAGTGCTCAGAGTGGACCTTGTTATGGTATATGAAATGTCTGTAGCATCTGTCATGGTTTGCATGTGAGGAATTAGTGAAACCCCAGTAGTCTTTCTGAAAAAATGGACCATTGTATGCACTTGGAGATCTGAAAGAGCAGCTTCTCTAAGAGCTTGCTCACCCGTCCTGGTGGGCTGAGTGACATTTCCCTGAGTGCTGCTGAAGATCACAGTGCTGTGAGCTGTTGGTGTCCAGAGGGGGTGCTGGGCTGTGTTCCTCCTCCTAGGTAGTTTCTGTGAATTTGAGAAACGCCACCAAGGACAAGTGCGCCTGTTTTCTGTAATCCTGTTGAAGATACAATGTTTGTGTCAGGTTTTTGAAGTCTTTAACTGAGCTTGTCCTGTCCTTTCAGAGCACTTATTCTTTGTGAGGTCTTGTGAGGGAATGTAGCCAGGACAACTGACCCAAACTGAACAAAGGGATGTTCCATACTGTGTGATGTCTGCTCAGTGATAAAATCTAAGAGAAAGGAAGGGATGGGGCATTCATTATTATGACATTTATCTTCCCTCTTCCTGAAGCTAGGCCCTCTGCAGGGAGGGCAGAATCTGGCACTGAACTATTTAATTTACTAGGCTGAAGCTTCAATATTTCCATTAAGCTTGTGGGAAGGATACTGTGACCTGATTTGAATCTCAATTACAAAGCACCAGTTGTAGAACAAGCCCATTGTGGCTGAATTTATATGGTCTTGTTTTGTTGGATGAATCATCTGACCTCAAGTGTAGTTGACATGCAGGGAAGGGAGGGGTGTAGCTGTTCTCAATAGCTGTGTGTTTCTGTGTGTTTTTTTTGTTTGTTTTGTGTGTTTG